TTATTGTGGGGATTCATTTTTCACAGAAGACAAGACAAGAACTGACAATATTTAGAAGGTCTATTTATTTTTACTTATTTTGAAATTTTTTATTTGTCTTTTTGTCTTTCAGAAATAATCTTGATTTCCGTATATTCTTGGGAGTTTAGCACGTGCGTGCTGTATCATCATAAGGTCTGTCATTGCGTCAACTGGTTGTACGTGAAAAAGGAGTAGGGTCGCCTGTCCAACCTCTTGGGGTTTCTTCGGGTCCTCCGGTTTTCTACCACTGCTAAAGACCCCTACGCGCAAGCGAATTATAGAAATAAAATTGAACCAAGTGTTAGTCCCGAAATGACCTAGTTTGTGTCGATTTGATGTTAAACCACCTCTCTCTCTCTCTCGAATATTATTTTTTTAAAAAATGACAGCTTTCAGAGAGAGTAGGTGAGTAGCGGGGTGGGGTGGGGGGGGGGGGGGGGTAGTGTCCACATCCACTCTTGCGGAGGGGTATGTCAACTTAGAGAGAGATAGGCTACGTTTGATGGTTTGTTTTAATATTGTACAGAATGCTCAATTCAATTTCGCTTTATTTTTGACGGTGTTGTCAATAAGTATATGGTATTCTGTATTTACATCACGCGAATCATCTATCAATTGGTCTGAATTGAGACACGGGTCTGTTGTGAATTATGAAAGAGTAATTATAAGAGATAGATCATGGACTGTGTGTATTTAAACATACATCATGGGAGATTAGATAAAGAGCTGACAGTTCTCACTATAATAGTAAAAACTAGATAATGTAATGGCAATTTTGCTGAAAATTTCAGCCAAATTTGATCCACTCTTAACCAAAATTTTAGCGATCATCATTACTAAAGTCGATACGATAAAAAACATAGTCTTGATTATCCATTGCATGATTAAATAAGAATGAAAATTGAGCAGAAAATCAGATCCTAATCCAGTAAATTTCGCAGGCAAACGTTGACATCGAGAGTTGATTATGGTCTGGATTAGTTAATTAATGTCTAATTAATAATTTAGATAACATTTCAGGCCTAAAGAAGGACCTGTAATAGGCCGTAGTGCCGCTGTCCGGGCAAAATTTCCCTCATACCGCACTGTATTGCGTGTAGACGACTTCATTAGCCCAGTTCGGATCAGAACAGTAGAACGTTAAACCCAATTTCATTATTATCATTATGTTCGTTGTCAGGCCTTCTCCAGGGAGTCAACGAATAGTCAACGAGCGACCGTGTGAATCAGGGTTTAACGTCCTACTTTTCTGCACCTACCGGGCTAATGAAGACGACCTTGGCTCCCATTATAAGAGAAAGCACGTCATTAGAAGCCAGTACAAGCCTACTATAAACTGGGTATTTTAGGCTGGGAAAGTCGAGTGCTGTTTCATGTTCAAGTGTCATTAATGTTTTGTGTTTTTTGTGTTTTTTATTTTTTTGTTGTTGTGTGTTTACCGCCTGACATACCCGATCTTGTATATTGACAGATGGAGATGTAATTATCTATAAAGTTATTAGCAGGCAATATGTTAGATGCTTACACCGAAGTCCGTCAAACATTGTAATTTGGTTAACACGCAATATATTATCACCATATTGACATGATAACACAAGTACGACTCCTAGGTGGGGGCTGTTCTTCTTTTTCATATACGGAAAGTCCTAATTAACCCAGTCTCCAGTCGCAGCAGAACAGTAGGACGTTAAACTCTATTTTATTTTATTTTGTATTCGGATACGACACGTGCATTGTTCCCGGGTGTAACATGACGTAATATATTTTTTACTGTGACCCAGTTAATTCCCGGGTTAATATCAAGAATAGAATGAATAATAATCACCCTTTTCTATCACTGTCTGCTATTTTGTTGATTATAAATTGACTGCGTGTACTGTTGTATAATTTGATATGTCTCCGCATTTTTTTTATATTTGCTTGGAGACGTATTTCACATTGCTTACATAGCAACAGGGGTGTGGTTAGTTTACGAGTACAGAGACTTATAGGCAACTCGACATTTGTGGGGGGGGGGCACTCTGAATTTTATTTTCAGCGCCACTGCTTGGACTGATATAAATGATTCGCACAGATGTTTCCCAAATAAAATAAAAAATTAAAGAAAATTCGAAAGGAAAAGATAGTGGGTCATAGAGGACTATCAGAATGTCAGGGGGTCAAGACGTGGTATAACGCCACCCCCCCTCCTCCCCTCCCCTCCCTCCCCCATACATAATATTTGAGCCACTTGGTAGGGTGCCCACTGAAGCAACCAGTAAATGTAAAGTCAGTCGTGAATCGTCAGCTTTTGTCAGTTATTCATGGGAGACAACTCCATTTAGAAAAGTCATTAAATGGTACGAGACATTAGTTTTATACTCTATCTATTTATAACTCAACATTGATATTCCATTATAATATTGTTATGAATATCATATCTGTATGACACGGATGATTTATAATGTTTTAAATGAAATGAAATTGGGTTTAAAGGGACCATCCCGATTTCAAAAGAGTCTCAAAAATAAAAGTCGGAGTAGGTATGAAATTTAAGCGCCAAAATATAGAGGAATGGTGTATTTACCTTCTCTCAAAATTCCAGCTCAAAATATTGAGTCGTTTGGACGTGAACGTCAAAACTGCTTATCCGGACACGTAACCCTTTTAAGATTTCGGGCCATTTTTTTCGTTGGGTGACCTGATAACCGACCCCCGTTCCTTTAGAGGTCTATATAGTGAAAAACCCATGTGCTGTACTTGATGACGAAAGGTAAATTTAACCTACATATTATTATTATAAAATAAAAGTCTAGTTTTATGCAGACACCGCATAATACAGCTTAGGACACCGGTCTCCATTTCCAGATGAAGACTGACGGGTTTAAGTTGTTCGAAAACGTATCACAAATATTGAGTTAGTTGCTCGGCCCTTAGCTAGAGGAATTTAAGGGATTTTAACACAAAATTAAGCAGTTTTATTCTCCAAAAAATATCGGGATTAGCCCTTTAACGTCCTACTTTCCTGTATCGACTTGGATAATAAAGACGGTATACGTCATACAGTGGGTTATGGGGGAAATATCAGGCCAACGTGTTCGCCAGACCTCGGTTTTTCGTCCCATCCGCACGACTACGAGATGGTTCATTTGTTACAAACCAACGGATTATGGCATGGATTTAACATTGAAGACAAAGGGGAGAGGATTACTGGTTTGAGTTTATAATTTAAATGTAGTTACATCTTATTATTTAATACCGGTATGAAAGCTGGTCAATAGAGAGCGAAACAATTTAATATAAATATAACTTCCCACCCCCCACCCCCAGATTTATATAGAATACATGGTTTTTTTGTTCTTCCACTCACGATGTAGAATTGTGTAACACAATAATATGGATATCTGTGGAAGACCAAACAGCTCTTTATTCAGTGTTCTTTTTAAGATGCAAATGTTAATTTTAGTGAACAAATGTCGAAATACGACAACAAATGAAGAAATAGGATTTATGAATTAAGAATTAAGAACACTGAATAAAGTGCGGTTTGGTCTTCCATAGATATATGCGTGCCTTTCAGACACTCAGTCTATTCATCTTTTTTACAGGTCTAACTCGTACACTCTAGATTCCAACGTCTGTTATTGAGTCAAGTGGGAGGGGTGGGGGTTGCAATCCCACACTTGTACATGACAGGAATTGGGTCGCCTGTCCAACCTCGTGGGTTTTCGTCCTCCGGGGTCCTCCCACTGATACCTTCTACACGCAGGTCAATTATTGAAATAGAATTGTACCATATGTTAGTCCCAAAATGATAGAATAATTATGTGGACGAATGAGATTGAGCACTAGATAAGCTCTTTTCATGGCGTAAAGTGAAACCACATTCATCTCCCGCGCTTTGTTTGGAAGCTAGAATTGGAAAAAGGTATAGCTTAAAATGTTTCCATGGCGCTGTCTACTTTGTTTTGTCGGCCATTTTCGCTCCAAAATGACTTGGCAGAGTGAGTTAAGCACTGGCACGTTGACCAAGACGTGCGAGGTTCGATCCAGGTGTTGGCCAACAAGAATGTTCATTACAAGGCCTGTTAAGGAACATAGCCCAGTCGTTCTGATGGGACGTACGATCGAAGTCACTTCCACATATTGGCGTGCATGTAAAGAACACATGACACCTGGAATTCGAATAGGCAGGTACGCTGCTGCCCGGGCTAAATTCCCCTCACAGCACACTGCCCCTGTATACCCGTCCGTATTGGACAAAAAAAGAACGTTAAACGCCATTTCATATTTCAAAATGGCAGAAATACTGGACTGGCGAGACGTTAAACCCTCTTTCTTTCTTTTGTGCTGCTCCATTTTGATTAGCCCAGTCGATGCAGAACGATAGGACGTTAAACCCTATTTCATTTCAGTTTATTTGTTTGTGGAGTTGAAAGTAATATAACTTGGGGTATTGTAGACTTGCAATGAACTGGCTGTTTTGTCGACTATTATAATGTCTTTTGTTGTCGCCGTCAATGATATATGGAGAATATAGAGAGGCGTCAGTCTGTAGATAACTAGACCTGAATAGGCGTGTCTCGCTTTATTTAAGGGTCGTTCCGATCAATCAAATAGATCGATTAACGCCTAACCTTGTTGCACGCATTGTGATATGACGTCACGCACAGTGCTATGGCGTCACGCAGTGTGCTATGACGGAAATTTTATCCATACAGCGGTACTACTGCTTATAATTTTCTCGATTTTCAACAGGAGATTGGTCGTCAGCGTGCTGCCAACGGTATACGCGAGAGTCACGGAGTCTCGTGTTTTTCGTCGCTGGAAGGACTAAAAGTCATCCACCTTGTACCTCTGACTAGATGATCGAGACTACAATGTTTACTTTTTTATGAATGGAATGTCCCTTGATTTTTATTAGACGTGTACATTCCAGTGAATATAAGACTATCACTGTTTACATTAGCAACCATTCATATATAAATATTTCTACACAATATATAAAGTTTCTGTCTAAAATAACAAGCTAAAACATATTAAAACTATGGCATGTAAAAACCGTGGAATACAAACAGCGCAATATAAAATGGTGGATGGAAATTAATTAACTAATGGATGTTATTACAGACGATGTGGGTAACCCATACAGTAGAAGGCTATCAAACATCATGGAGAAATTATTCAATTAGCGTTGAAGTGAAACATCGGGTAGTTATTCATTGGGACTGTAATCCTCAAAGCTTGAAGAATCTCGGAAACTGGACAGCGTCGACGTAATTCATTGGAACTGGAGACCTGAAACTCGGAAAATTCACGGTGAAGTTTCAAGAACGGCACACGTACAAGAATTTGATGTGAATATATAAACGAAGACAAATAGATATAGAATTTGATATCAGGAGTTATATAACCGGGGTAGTATATACAAATAGATATAGAATTTCATGTCAGGAGTTAAATAACCGGAGTAGTATATACAAATAGACACGCCTTTATTTATTTAGGTTTTAATATTAATCATATAGCATACCTTGCAATATAATATTTAATACGATAATGTTAAAAGAAACGGGGAAACATATCGATAGAAAATATTTTAATAAAACACGAACGTAAATCGTGACTATATCCTAATCTGACAAGAACTCGTCGTCAAAATACAACACCGTCATTCTTTACTGAATTATAATAGCAGAGATCGAATATACTTTCAATAGACTGATTATTGAGACTTGACCTCTTTTGTTGGGTATTAAAATGAAGGACTTGATATAAAGATATTTGTTATTACTCGAGTGAATTAACACCATAAATCATTTTCTTCCTGCGATATTAGATATTGGTGGAAGCGGACATTGAATATATGGATATACAATAGAGGGATTCGTGTGTTTATTTTTTGTGCTAGTATATTTGTCTATAGTTAAACCGCCATTTTACTGCTGGTCATAAATATTCCAGTTTGTACAATAGTCCACAAGTATACATACCTATTGTTGTGTTTGGAAACATTCCAGTTTTTATATTTACAAATCTACAGAAGTTCCTCTCGTCATGTACGTCAACACATTTTTATATTGTAATAATTTAAATGTTATTATTGAATTTTGACGAATTCGTTCTTTAGCTTTCGCGGGCTCATACTCATTCCTGTTTCTCGAATAGTGAAACGCCATGTTTGGATGAATTTTATGATTTTGACGAATTGGTTGTTTGGATTTTGTAATATATAAACAGACGTAGGAATGTGCCCCGATGCCAATACTGTGATCATTAAATCAATGCATGTTGTTTTCAACCTGTGACGTGTCCATTTTGTGATCTTTCTTGTCAAATCAAGTTTTACAATAAACATTAAAAATGGTGGATGCAGTTGTATCGACGAAATACGGAAAGCGACCAGTTTTGGATGTGCCACCAATGAAGGCTTTTGGTTCTAATAACGTCCAAGTATCGAGTATGATGGATTATAATACGTCATCGCTAATACAACAACCACAGCAACAGATGCAATACGTGCCACCACAGCAACCACAATACGTCACAGCACCACAACAACAACAAGGTCAATACGCTCAAGCCCCACCACAACTTCAAACACAATATCCTTCCATCCATCAACAAGTTCCACCACAACAACCACCGTATCAACCATCAGCTTATAATCCATATGCTGGGGCTGGTTTCCAGGCAGATCAACGATTCTCGGCCTCAGCACCCGCAGGGCCAATGACGGACCCTAATAACTTTATGCTATCCATGATGGGTCCGTTAAATCCCTTCAATCCAGCTAATATGATGGGTCCTCCTTTAGCCCCACCACCCGTACCACAAATGCAATTTCCGCAAATGCAATTTCCAGCCCCTGTTCCCAACTTCAACTTCCCCCCTCCGCCTGACTATAACCGAGGACATACGACATATCCCGACCAACGTTACGGTCAACCGCCGCCGCCACCACCACCCCGGTACCCAGCCATGAATCAACCCGTCCACACCGGTCCCGAAGACAATTATTCGTTACAAGGAAAACTTGAGTTTGGAAAAATGACAACCGTCCATGTCGACAGCATTACCGGAAACTTCCGACAACTACCGGAAATATTACGGAAAGAGTTGAAGAAAACCTACGGAAAGTATCCAGAAACTGACATCAAGATATCCGTAGAAAATGGTGAATATCACATTTATGCGTCTCCGCATCGCGAAGATGATCGTCCTATAAGAGGACCACGGGCTTACGACGATGATGAGAAGCGACCGTATAATCACGATGACTTTAAAAGAAAACCGCGATTCGAGGAGGACTATCGGCCCAAACCACCGCGGGAATATGATCCGGATTTTATTCGCGGCAGGGGATTTGAACAAGAGGTACGGCTCCGAGAGTTTGATGATTTCCCCCGAAGGGATCGTGTTGATGCCCACCGAGGGAGTCATGATTCCAGAATGGCGGACGCCGAATGGGTTTTAGTTAAAAGAAGATAGAGAGTGTCGGAAACAAATTCGACAAAATTAATCTTTTGTGGCATTTTATCGATAAAATCAGATTCAGTGCGAGAAATAGTCAAATTTACGGGAAGCGAGTACATTCATCAGTGGAATCATTTATAGATTACAAACAAGTGCATCCTCGTGTCTCGTCTTGTCGAGCCGTTATTTTACATTTGTCAAAATAACTTTAAATCATTTTTACATATCACTTGAACATAAGAAAATAATAATATACATGTTACTGTATTTATTTGGTATAAAAAAGTTCTATACAAATTAAATGGAGTTCTTGTTAGTCCCACCTAACTATAAGTAGTAAAAGGTGTCATGTATGAGACAGTATACGCTTTAACTTTCTAGAACATCTGATCTCACTTCTGGTTTAGTATGGATGGGTGACGTACGCGAGGCAGGGTATGTTTCATCTTTCCAGGGCACCTCTTCTAGTTCAGTTTTGATTGGTGTCGTACACGAGGCAGGGTATGTTCACGCTTCATAGAACACCTGATGCATGAGGGACATACCGTTAGGGGTGGGTCCAAGGGTGACGACACTATTGATCTTACATGAGTGACATATTGTTAGGGGGTGGGTCTAAGAGTAACGACACTTTTGATCTTACATGAGGGACATAGTGTTAGGGGGTGGGGACATGGGTGACGACACTATTGATCTTACATGAGTGATTATCGTTAGGGGGTGGGGACAAGGGTGACGACACTATTGATCTTACATGAGTGATTATTGTTAGGGGGTGGGGACAAGGGTGACGACACTATTGATCTTACATGAGTGATTATCGTTAAGGGGTGGGGCCATGAAGAATCTTTAGAACATTAAGCCCTGTTGTCACTTATCCGGGGTTGCAGGTGTAAAGTTGACAAGGAGCAAAATATATCTAGTTTGTCGTATGGGACAAAATTCTGATGTCAATTCCAAATGCTAAGGGGTCCTTTACGTACCCGTCAATGTTCACACGGGACCTCGGTTTTCGTCCCATTCTATATGCTGCCCCTTGCCAGGCCCTCTGCACCACTGACAGGTGGGGGGGGGGGCGCAAGCCGGGAAATCCTGATGAACCTTCTAGGCCAATGCAGGGATCAAAAACGGGACTTCCAGGTTAGCCAACGGAAACCACGGTGGCCAAGTGAGTAAGACGTTGGCTTGGTAGCCTGGAGGTCGCGTGTTCGATCCCTGCATTGACCGAGAAGGTTCATCTGGATTTTCCGACGTGGTTTCCCCTTGTCAGAGGTCTAAGACAGAGGATCTGACAAGGACAACTGACTAGTCGTTCGAACAGGACGAAAAACAGAGGTCCTGTGTATACATTGGCATGCATGTAAAAGTTCCCTTGGCATTTCGAATTCAATGTAAGAGTAGGCCGTAGCGCCGCTATGCGAGCAAAATATCCCCCCATAGCACACTGTCTGCCCATCTTCAATAGCCCAGTCGGAGCAGAACAGTAGGACGTTAAACCCCCATTTCATTTCATTGAGCCAAATCCTACCCACTGGGCCACCGTGGGATCCAGAGACATATAACGTACTATATGGCAGTCTCAACATGACGGGAAAATATTGTTGACAAGACTTAAAACCCCATTCTATTAATTTATTACACTTTCTGTCTTCAGTATTTTCAATTCATCAGGCCATACAAAATAAATATTCTGATAAACAAACAATTCTTCACAAAAATCTCATGAGGGAGGCAAGTTTTTATTTTATCTAAAGCCTAGCTCACAACCCCTGCCGTACGTGCTACTACAGACAGTCTAAAGCCTTGCTTACAACCCCCGCCGTAGGTGCTACTAAGGGCAGTCTAAAGCCTTGCTTACAACACGTCGTACATGCTACTACAGACAGTCTACGGTTAAAATTTTAGTAAACCCGTACGCGAGTCTTACGCGTCGATTGCGTGTGTTCTGCACCGTAGAAGATCGCAGATTAGCCGTGGAGAGTTTTGGTCCTGTACATAAAAAACTTTTACCCAGTTTCTCGCGGCTGGTCTGCGAGCTACCAAACTCTACAATCCATGCTTGTCAAAATTCAAGAGGCAGATTGTTAGCTAGACTAAAACATTTCTACTGGTTTAATGACTTCTCAACATTTCATAAAAAAAAACACCACAATTTATATTGAAAACAATCACTGGTTTATACACATATAGTACAACGTTTCAACAAGTATTCTCTTATTATTTTAACAGAGCCACATAAAGATAGTAATATATGATTATCCAGTGTCAATATAGTCTTTCAATAACAATGATCAGGGTTACGTACTTGATCATTGGGTCTACGGTATATTTCCGGAATTAATAGAATTTTTTCATCCAGTTTTCTCCCTGTAACCATGGTAACAAATGCATGTGCAGTAATTACATAGATTGTTTTTTTGTTTCATCCCGTTTTTAAGTGACACAGCAGTATCCCAGAAACATAATATTTCTTTTATATTGCCTAATTTTTTTTAAAGTTTCAATGGCATTATATGGCCTAAATTTATAAAATTTCACACAATTAATTAAGCTGACACGGTCTCCATCATATGTTTATGTGTGGCAGCATTATCCGGATTAAGATTAATTAATCTGTTACTAGAGTCTGCTAAATCTCGGATAGAAACACGGCCATTTCGTCGAATATATTTAGCAACATCTTCGAGTTCTTCCATCGTTATATATATAAATTTACCCCGATCATCGACCACACCTGTTAATTCTCCACTAGATTGTAGATCATGAACACGCTGTATACAATCCTGTTAAATATACATAATTATTATACAATATCAACACACTTTTCATATACACATCCAAATATATTAAAATACATTGGGTGGGGGGGGGGGGCAGGGGGGCTAAGAGAGAGAGAGATGGGGTTTAACGTCCACTCGACACAAACAAGGTCATTTCGGGACTAACATATGGTTTAATTTTATTTCAGTAATTCGCTTGCGCATTAAGGGTCTTTAGCAGTGGGAGGAAACCGGAGGACCCGGAGAAAACACACAAGGTTGGACAGGCGACCCTACTCCTTGTCACGTACAACCAGGGATTCAAAAACACTTTATGATACAGACTTTATGATACAGCGCCGCATGCTAACCATTCAGCCATCCAACCCCCCCCGGATGGCTAAGAGTAGCTCTGTGACTTATATTTCATAACCCCGTCATTTACACACTAAAAACTATTTATGGAATTAACAATTACTGGTTTATTGACATGCAACGTTTCCACGATAATACTCTCGTCTTTATTATTTGCTTAATAAAGATGGGAGTATCATCGTGGAAATGTTGCTTAAACCAATAATTATTATTCTATAAATAGTTTTTAGTGTTTTACTGAAAGAAACCCTGTTGTTATGTATAACGTTACTTCTGGTGAATTGAAAAGTGATATAAACTAGTTATCCTTTATAGCACACAGTATGCCTTGTATCATCAATTTGTTAGCTCAATTGGTGCAGACCATCTCTAAAATAATGTTAAGAGACCTTATTGATTTTAACAAGTTATTGGGGCAGACTAACCATCTCTTTATTCAGTGTTCTTAATCCTTATTTCTTAATTCATAGTCCTTAATTCTTATTTCTACATTTGTTGTTGTTTTACAAATTAGACATTTGTCACATCAGATTTGTAAAATGTATTTTAATCGTATTTCAATATAAAGATAAAATTTATTTTAGAAAATCAAAAATTAGCCTACATTTACATTTCATCAGAGAAATTAAATAAAATACCCCTATATAAACTTTTGTTATAATTATATAATACCCCTATATTAACTTTTGTTATAATTATATAATACCCCTATATTAACTTTTGTTATAATTATATAATACCCCTATATTAACTTTTGTTATAATTATATAATACCCCTATATCAACCCCTATTATAAAATACCCATAAACTAACCTGTGTTTTAATTTTAAAATGTGCTGCTAAATCTTCTAACATGACAACCTTCATATCCTAGAAATAAAAATATATCATACTTTTAGTTTTATAAATTTGTAAACAACCAACTTAAAATGGCTGAATTTTCACATTAAAGGGCCATTATGGAAGATTAGATAAACAGCTGAGAGTTCTCGCTATAATAGTTACAAACTAGATAATGTAAAGAGAACATGCTGAAGTACTCGGACAAAGTACTTCACTGCGAGTTGAGAAATCTTCATTTTAAAAACATTGTTTTATTAGGCATAAGAGATAGAGTGTGCTAAAATAGTCTTAAAATACGAAGAGAGAAACAGGGTTTAACGTCCACTCAATACAAACTAGGGAGTAACATGTGGTACAATTTTATTTCAATGCCTGTCTCTTGTGTATATGGGAGAAAACCCACGGTTGGACACAAGATCCAAGTCGGGTCATGTATAAGCGAATCCAAATCACGCCAAAGAAAAGGGGTTTAATATCCTACTTTTCTGCACCAACTGAGCTAATGAAAACTGGCATATGTCATACAGTGGGCTATGAAGGAAATTTTGACAGGACAGAGGCACTACGGTCTACTCTTATATAGAATATAAACTTTTACGTGTACGCCAATCTGTACACATCTGGACTAGTAGACACTGTCCTTGCCAGAGTTGAACTTTCTCGGCTAACCTCGGGAGTAAACCTGAGATCTGAATAGCGTGCCAGTGTTCACCACGGCTCCTAAATTTGTTCAATGCTTAAACACATACTAATGTTTCATACATACATACCAATAAACTTCTACAAAAATGACTTGTAAATATTAGAGATGAAACTTTTAGAAAGATCATCCAGGTATTATTTACCTTTATATATTGTATAAATTCTTGTAATAAAGACTGGGAATTCAAGTCTACTTCTGCCTCATTTTCACCCTCTTCATCAACACTAAACATTTCCTTCATTTTTAAATATTCTTCGTATTCTTTTTTCTCTTCTTCTTCTTTACGTTTCTTCTCTTCTTCAGCCTGAAATATAAACACCATCTTTATAAACCTACAAACCTTCACAAACACCAACAAACATATCAACACACACCAACAAACATCTTAGTTTCAGCTCGAAATGTTAATCATTGAACTCAGTCAAGACATTCACCTAATGACCATCTACATCAACATTCTACCTCAATTAAAAACAGAGCTGTTACGTTCCAATCAAATTGCTTATTGCCCTTTAGCCTAAGCAGAAAATTCTCATCATCAAACTTAGTGAAGGTAGTAATATAATGAATCTATAATTTTCAAACACTTAGAATCAAAGTTATTGTGCTCCAAAGTCTCAACTAATCAAATAGCTTATCTCGGCTTAGCCTGAGTGAAAAATGATTAAAATCTATTCAATTCTTCGAATGAATGAAACAAACCTCTATAACCTCACCTTGTTTATAGAATGAATGAAACAAACCTCTATAACCTCTTCTTGTTTATAGAATGAATGAATGAATGAAACAAACCTCTATAGCCTCTTCTTGTTTTCTTATAGCTTCTTGTTTCTTTCTTTTCGCTTCTTCTTCTGCTTCTTTCTCTTTTCTCTCCTGTCGATCTTCAAATTCAGCCTGAAAATATTGAATACATCATTATTACAGTTGCCTCCCTTTAGATTTAATCCACCTTAAACAAACCAAACTAAAGTCTCCAAAATTCCCCCCCCACCCACTTCTCCCTCTCAGTTCATAGCAGAACTAACGCCATTATAGTTGAGATATGAAATGACAGCCTTACCACATCCCGAAACATGGGCGCTGATTTGTCACAGCTAGAAAGAGGATATCAAAGTCGGGAAATTCTCTTTAGATTCCAACAATGTTAGGCGATAAAACTTGTCTGAGACCAGAGCTGGAGTTCACAAAGTTAAAGATTTACTCAACTTTAAATCAATGTTTATGAGAAATATCTTTCATGTATTTGATACATAAAAACAACAAAAGTTTTATAAGTTAAAATGAGGCTAAAGTCGGAGAATGCTTTGGGAACTCGGGACCAGATATTAAGGCAGGACACTACCTAAGAATTTTACATTGATAACAGAAACTTGCCATTTAGTGTAATATTAGTATATGATGTCCCAAATCAGATTTGATAATTTGAGCGCAAAATGTTTATTTGTTGTCATGGAAATGGTGGCCATATTGGATTTTTTATATATTCACGGTGGCTATGTTAGGAAATCAAAATCTTCAACAATTTTATTGAAACAAACTATTTGTGATTTGGAATAACATATATAGGCATTAAAGAGTGCAATAAGGCATAAATTTTACTATTTGAATGTTAATAAAGAACATTATGCATCCCACATAAAACAAGTGGGTGTGGCCGAACACACCAGTAAAAGGATTTTGTACAATAAAATATCCAAATGTATAAAAAACACTTTGAAAATCACCTTATTGCAAACAGTAGCTATAGCACTAATCGTATTCCAAAGATGAGACCATTATCTCTCATAGATTTTGAGAATTTGATTTTCTAAGACCTGATATGGGTGAAAAATTGAGTACGGAAAAAAGCAAGTTAAAAGTTAAAAATTTGATTTACCTATACAAATGACTAAATATTTAACACTATATAATATAAAGGCTGGACACGACTTGAAAAATCAACAAATTTTTACTATTTTGGGCAATTTTAGCTGATATCAAAATTTGACAGATCAATCTATACAGAGTGTTTTATAAGGTAGTGTCCTGCCTTAAATGGGACAAATGGACTTTGAAACAAATTATGGAGTATATGACTTCACCTCTCTAGCGGCTTTTCTATCTGCTTTATCTTGAAGCTTTTTTAATTTCTTGGCACCAACTTTTTTTTCAGGTTGAGCAAAATCTGCAAATACATCTTCTTCATCATCCAGCTCATCTGAAATAAATATTTCTTTCATTTCATCTTTGTCAAGTAGTGTGGGCTTCATTATTTTAACATGTCTGAGGTTGAACATCCTGATGACGGGCCATAGAGTGTTCTATGACAATTTTGCCTGGACAGCTGCATTACGACCTACTCTTTTGTCGAATTCCAACTGTCAATTGTTCTTTTATATGATCACCAATGTGTACACACATGTAGGACCTCGGTATTTTGGCTAGACACCTTTCCTTGTCACACCCCCCCCCCCCCCCCGCAACTCCCTTGTTCGGCACCAGTGACATAGCAAAACTGCACCAGAAATCTGAGGAACTCTCCAGGATAAAGAAAATGAAATAGAGTTTAGCGTCCTACTGTTCTGCTCCGTCTGGGCTATTGAAGACGGGCATACGCCATACAGGTTTAACGTGTGGATGTAAAATCATAACACCTGCCATTGATTCAAGTGACATGGATTTGAAACCCTTATATCGAATTCCAACTGCCACAGGATCTATAACGTGCACTTCAATTTGTATACGGGGCCTCAGTTTTTAGTCCCATTTGAACGACTGTACATTGTCCCTTGCCAGTCACTCCATCCTGCACCACTGACAAGGGGGGAAACCACGCTGGAAAATCCTGATGAACTTTCCTAGACAACACCGGAAACGAACATGTGACCTCCAGGCTAACAAGCCAGCATCTTACTCACTGAGCCACCATGACTCCACGGAGGTAGAAAATATTAATATACATGTACATGCTAAAGGGGTAAATTAATATAATCAAGAATTACCTGGTTCATCTCTGACTACCATTCTCGGACGTCTTGCTCTCCTCCTAACACCAGGTGGTCCCTCCACATTAACAGGTACAGGTCGTCTAGCTGGTCCTCCACCTTCACCACCCTGTTTCTTGTCATCTACAAAATAAACATACAAGTTAATATACCTGACTGGATGGCCGAATGGTTCGCATCACCTGACTCATGGACAGATGTTTTGATTTTATGTGCATGCGTTAAAGTTACAATTTCATATTTTCTAAGAAAGTCAGAACATAATTATTTCTATGTCTTTTGCTCAATAGGTTTTCAACTCACTATTATACGATCATAGGTTATCTTTCTCACACTTAAAAATCTTCACACCGGAAATAATAACACAATTACCTCCCTTGTTTTCCTATTCTCCACAATGGAATAGCTATCTTCAAACATTTGAATTTGAAGTTGAAAATGATATTTTTGCCAATTTCTCAACTGGCAATAGTGAATTATAGGACTAATAGGATTATTCTTTAACAAGGTAGGACAGTTTATAGATACCATCTATTTTAGAGCTTTATTTTAATACATTTTAAAAATATGAAATTGTAACTTTAAACGCCCTCATACTCATACAACTGGGCTAATGAAAACGGGCATACGCGATACAGTGTGCAATGAGGGAAATTTTGCCCGGGCAGCGGCACTACGGCCTACTCATATATCGAATTCCTGTCAAGGGATCTTTTACGTGCATGCCAATTTGTACACAGGACCTCAGTTTTTCGTCCTATCCGAAAGACTAGACAGCTGTCCTTGTCAGGCCCTCCGTCCTGCATCACTGGGCATGGGATATGGAAAATAAAAACAGATAAAAATTATGATAACAAATTAAAGAGTCGGCGATCGTGTTTGATCAGACTCCCTTTTCTATTTCCATCACTTTTACATTCCATTACTTTTACATTTCTTCCTGCTTTCTGTTAGGGTCAGTTATTTAACATGGAAGAACTAATCTTCTTTTCACTTACCTACTTTCTGCGGTGCCACAACAATGAAATATTGAGACACAAAAATGGGAGTCACATCAAACATAATAAATGCCAATTTTTGAAGCAGATGTAATGTATGATCATGATGTTTACAAAACATATTGTCTGTTTTCAAACAGTTTTATATGGTAGTAAACACAGACATTTTTACATTTATGACTTACCGTTGGATAATTCAATACTTACTTGAACTGAATTTATTGACTATAAAAACAATCAGAAATATAACAGCAACTATTCCAGCTGTAACGAGGTAAATAGTGAACGGGTCTACGACTGCCATGTTGACGATCTTCACGGAAGTAAATATAAAGGGAGGCTACTCTTGTTATTGTCACGTACATCCAGTATTAGAATGTCGCGCGTCGATCTCCAGCTAGCCGTTCACCCTTGACTTGTCATGCAGTGGCGGCGCCAGCCGTCGGTGGTTGGAGGGGCAAAGCTGGGGCAAAGTCCAAGGTTAAGGGGGCAAAGGCACGAACTTCAACTAGGGTTAGGGGGGCCCCCCAGAAAATTTTGAAAAACAGGCTGCCGGAAATACAGTCTGTCACTGTCAGTATTTCAAGTACTGATCGTTGAAAGTGTCAAACGAACGGACTTGCAACCTCAACGAAGCCCACTCACGAGCGCCAAAAATAGACTGCCGGAAATGCTGCCTGACAGTATTCAGTCAGGTACCTATCGTCGAGATAAATAGATACCGTCCGTCGCCTGATCACTAGTTTATACGACCAGAGAACAAAATGTCAAATGAACGGACTTTCGAATATCAACAAAGTCCCCGTGTGAGCGCCAAAGCAACGAGTCCCTGTGGGGGGTATTGGGGATCTCTCCAAGAAAATTTTGAAAAATAGACTGTCGGAAATGCTCTACAACATGCAAGTCTATGACTGAGTGGGGATGTGGGATTTAATCACCGTAGAAGGTATAGATTACCGAAACGTATCACAAATACTTTTTTTTTATTTTCTAAAATTATTCAGGGGGGGGGGGCAAACAGAGGGCAGCCCAGATTTATGGCGGGGGGGGGGGGCAAACAGAGGGCGCCGCCACTGTTGTCATGGTTGTGGTTTCGATCCCTGGTGTCAGCGTATGTGGCTTGGAGATAGCGGCACCTTCTCAACCTCGTGGGTTTAATCAGTTTTCTTCCCACAGGAACGATCCCTGCGCATGCGTTAAGCATAAGGAACGGCCCCTGCGCCTGCGATAAGCATAATAAAATAAGACAACTTATCTGGAAGCGGACGTTAAACAGTAATAGAAGAAGAAGAAGGCTTTCGCATTACCTACGGAAAGTTAATTGAGGTATCCCCAGCACTAAAGACATATTAAATAAAACAGATTGAAGATTAAACATATTAACAGTATAAATAATTAACTTATTATTCTGTTGTATGGAATGTGTAAATTTGAACATTGTGTCGGTGGGGATGACGTAGCTTACGCAATAAAATGTTATATTCCGGTCCAGATTTGCACCAGAAATCGGTCACGTCATTGACACCCAGGTTGAAAACCCCTGTGACCCCTCTAAACAAATATTAATAGACCGGTTTGTATAGGGCCCCATTTCATCTCCTTTTTCCTGGAAATGAAATGAAATGAAATGGGGTTTAACGTCTTACGCGTCTGCACCTATACTGGGCTAATGAAGACGGGTATACGCCATACAGTGTGCTATGAGGGAAATTTTGCCCAGGCAGCGGCACTATCGCATACTCTTATATCGAATTCCAACTGCCAAGGGATCTTTTACGTGCACGCCAATGTGTACACGGGACCTCGGTTTTTCGTCCCATCCGAACGACTAGGCAGCTGTCCTTGTCAGGTACTCCGTTCTGCATCACTGACAAGGGGGAAGCCACGCCGGAAAATCGAGATGAACTTTCTCGGCCAAAGCAGGGATCGAACACCCGACCTCCAGGCTAGCGAGCTAGCGAGCCAGCGCCTTACCCACTTAGCCACGTGATCCCCCCTTTTTTTCCTGGAAGCCCAATGAGTAAAACGCTGGCCCGCTAGCTTCCCTGGAGGCTCCGTGTTCGATCTCTTTGTTAGCCGTGAAAGTCTATCGGGATTATCTGGGATGGTTCCTTCTGTTCAGGGACAACGTATAGTCATTCGGATGGGACGATAAACCGCGCCCCGTGTACACATTAGCTTGCATGTGCACGTAAAAGATCCCTTGGCAGTTAGAATTCGATACAATAGGCGGTAGTGCCCCATGGTACACTGTATGGCGTATGCTCGTCTTCATTAGCCCAGTCGGAGCAGAATAGTAGGACGTTAAATCCCATTTTATTTCATTCTTTTTTTCCATTTCTGATTCACTGAGTAGACAACAAAATTAGTATCAACACCAGGATGAGCATAAAAATATCCACACTGTTTCTCACTCAAAACAATGTCTTTCAGTTAAATTCAATAATCGATTATCGATTATAGATCGATTATTAGAAACCGGAAACTTATAGAAAATAGTATTACACATAAAGAAGCTTATTCTTTAGAACTATCTTCTAGAACACGTCAAGATGTCTTCCGATATATAGTTTAAGTTTCGTTAAAAACTGATCAAGATATCGATAATTCAAACGACAAGTATCTGTCTTATTAACACGATCACTGGCTTGACAGTTGGAATTCGATATAAGAGTAGGCCGTAGCGCTGCTATCCCGCCACAATATTCCTCATAGCACACTATCTATATGGATAAACCAGCCTTTATTAGCCCAGTCGGTGCTGACTGCTGAATAGTAGGACGTTAAACCCTACTTCGGTTCACTTGATCTCTCTTTCCCTGGTCGAGATTACCAGTTTTCCCTGGTCAAGATTACCAGTTTTCCCTGGCCGAAATCACCAGTTATAGACCGTAATAAAATCTGGCTTCACGTCTCGTCTGACATAATACTTCGGTCTGCAGAGAAATCATGTTTGACGTCCAATCAACGTAAACTAGCCCATTTCAGGACGGTAAACCCACGAGGATGGACAAGCTTGAGATCGAAACCTCGACATTTGTCTCCATGACAGACCTTACGATCTATATATAAGGACCAGCCCCACCCACCCCAGATTTAAATATACTTTTAATATAATAATATGGTGAGGGTCTGGTAAACGGGGCTAACATAATTACATGTTGTAAAAAAACGTCCTACTATTCTGCTCCGACCGGGCTAATGAAGACGGGCATACGTCATACAGTGTGCTATGAGACAAATTTTGCGGCCAGCTCTTATTTTGAATTCCACTGTCCATATTTCTCTTACGTGCACACCGATGTGTGCGCGCGACGTCGGGCTTTCTCGACCAACACAGGACTTCCAGGTTAGCAAGTCAACGTCCTACACACTGAGCCAGCACGGTTCCCTGTAATCCATGTTTATCGCTGACAGTATTAGTTATAAATGTGATGGGAGGGATTACTTAGTAATTCCTGTATTGATGTTGGGTTAATCAGTGGTCTTAACCCTGATTTATAAACTAATACATATTAAACAGTATAAAGGCATTATATTAATAATAATTACACCAATATACGTCATATCCACTCTCAAATCTACACTGGATAATTAGGACTATGTATAGTATTTGATGCCGTCAAGACTACACTGGATAATTTGGACTATGTTCATTAGCCAATTACATTCGAAGGTTGAACATTATACGTCATACTGTCTCCATTCTATGTCACCATATTAGCGAGCCAGGAATTTACTGTCTGTAAGATATCATATTAAAAGCGAATCCAAATACACCCATAGAGTTCGAACGACAAGAAATTTTAGGATTTCTCAAGTTTTGACGAGACATTTAACTCTACAGCGAGCTCGCCTTCTGTTTAAAGTCTGGTAGTCAGGGTTACTAGGATCCGACACAGTTAACAGATATACAGTCTGGTAGTCAGGGTTACTAGAATCCGACACTGTTAACAAGAATAACCATATAAGCCAGCAAAATAAAACCTTTTTTCTTTAATTATAATTTTGCCCGACCGTGTTTAAATCTATTTCAAACCCCGGTGGTTTTATTTTATTTATAGATGTTTTCGGTGGAAGACGTTTTTTCGATAAATATAAAATGAAGAAATTGAATTGTAAATCCCCATAGAATAGTCCAATTGATGGGAACTTGATCAATCTAGCAGGAACAGATTAAAACTGACACAAGTCATCACATGTCATTGACGGATATTAAACAAAACGGTATGTGAGCGTCTGGATGGAGATTGTGGGTCATTCTCCCAATTAAACTGACAGGTCAAAGTTTAAATTAATTTCCATCCTCCTTTTATATAGTACGCAATGAATGAAATAAGATGGCGGTTTAGCGTCCTACAGGTCTGTGCGAACAGGGTAAATCGCGGTTTAGGGTCCTACATGTCTGTGCGAATAGGGTAAATCGCGGTTTAGGGTCCTACAGGTCTGTGTGAATAGGGTAAATGGCGGTTTAGTGTCCTACGGGTCTGTGCGAATAGGGTAAATGGCGGTTTAACGTCCTACGGGTCTGTGCGAATAAGGTAAATGGCGGATCTGTGCGAACAGGGTAAATGGTGACGAAGAAGAAACTATTTCCAGACAGCGGTTTTACGATCTACTAGTATAACGATTTTGACGTGCTGTCGAGGGTAGGGTGAACTTTAGATCACAAGGCCTGTCATTGAGTCAAATAACGTGGTTTCAATTCCCCGCTTGGACGTGACAAACATTAGGGTCGCCTGTCCAACCTCGTGTGTTTTCTCCGAGTCGCCCGGTTATCCCGCACTGCTAAAGACCCTTAAGCCCAAGCGTATTATTAAAGTAAAAAGCCCTGTCGACATTAAACCCCCATTTCTCTCTCTTTCTCCCTTTACCGCGTTACCATTCGCATACCGGTGATCTCAGTTTGTGCCATCCGAAGGACTGTACGATTTTCCTTGTATCTTACACCACTGACAAAGGGAAACCCGGTCGGTAAATACCGATGAACTTTCTCTGGTTTTTGGGGAGTTGGATGGCCGAATGATTAGCGCGTGCGCGTTGTATCTCATAAGATCTGTCATTGACGTGGTTTCGATTCCCCGGTTGTATGTGACAAGGAGTAATGTTGCCTATCCAACCTCGTGGGTTTTCTCCGAGTCCTCCTGTTTCCACCCACTGCTAAAGACCCCTACGCGCAATTGAATTATTGAAATAAAATTGAACTATTTGTTAGTCCCGAAATGATTCCAGTAGAAACTATTTACTTTCTCATAGTTAAAGGGACATTATGTAGATAAAGAGCTGACCGTTCTTGGTATAATATTTCAAAAATAGATAATGCAAAATGAATATGTTGAAAATGTCATTCAAATTACTTTATTTTCAGTGGAGTTAACAAGATGTGTGCATTAATCGAAACCACCGTATACTGGTCATTCGAGTCTTATCCATTTGTAAATTAAATCATTAAATGGTGGAACCGTTCTAATCTACTTAAAACCGGGGCCATCCGATGACATCGAGAGTTGATTATGGCCTTGTCATGTTTATTTATGTCTAATTAATAGTTTATATAACATTTCAGGTCTAAAGAAAGACCTGCAATAGGCAGGCAGATTGGGCTCTTGTATAATTGTTCACCTTATGTTAGCTAATATATAGCCGTTTATAAAATGGGGTTTAACGTCCACTCGACAAAAACTAGGTCATTTCGGGGCTAACATATGGTTTTTAATTTTATTTCAATAATTCGCTTGCGCGTAGGGGTCTTTAGCAGTGGGAGGAAACCGGAGGACCCTAAGAAAACCCACGAGGTTGGACATACATCAATAAGAAAATATGTGTAGATTTTTGTGTATCTGGATCAAAGATATCTCCCATAAACAATGTTTGAAAGCGGAGTCTTGGTAAGGGAATGAAATGGGTTTTCATGCTCTTTTACACCGACGGGGCTAATAAAGACGGGCATAAACCATACTGTGTGCTATGGGGGGGGGGGGGGGGAGATGGGTGGGGGGGGGGGCTAGTCAAATGGATTACCGCCTACTCTTATATCAAATTCCAGCTGTCAATGGTTCATTTACGTGCCCGCCAATGTATACACGGGACCTCGGGTTTTCATCGGGGTAAGATAAAAACATCAATATGGATTGAGATGAACCAATATTAAATTCTAATTTGTGGGTTTTTTTTAATATCATGGAGAACATTCAGTTGAAGGATTAGCAGCTCCTTTAAATCAAAATAAGGGATATCGAAGCAGTGATAAACGATAGCCCGATACAAGTCAACACTGAATTAATAACGTTATCATATTTTACAGCATGTTTTACTTATCTGGGGTGCTGAAGCCAGGTGGCTGAGTGAGTAAAATATTGGCTCGCTAACCTGGAAGTCCCGTGTTCCATCAGAGGAGTCTTACTCGCTGGCTTGCTAACCTGGAAGTCCCGTGTTCCATCCGTGTTCCATCCGGTGTTCCATCCGTGTGGTGACCGAGAAAGTTCATTGGGATTTTCTAGGGATATATCTCCTTATCAGTGGTGCAGGACGTAGGGCCTGGCAAGTGGCACAGGACGTAGGGCCTGGCAAATGGCACAGGACGTAGGGCCTGGTAAGTGTTACGAAAAACCTAGGTCCCGTGTACACATTGACAGTTGGAATTCGATATAAGAGAAGGTCTTAGCGTCATTGTCCAGGCAATACCCCCCCCCACCACTTCGTAGCCCATGTTACTGCCTGGTCCGAATTACCCCAATACACCAAATATCAGCCCCGCGACAGCCCTAGTGTAGCCGGCAACCCCGAACCTTGAATAAACAGACAGACAAACAACAGTCACAAATATTATTCTAAATGAAATAGACGTTACTTGTTTGTGCGTCTTACCCACGGATTTTTCTTATAGGCGTGGTTTGTCTGTGGTGCGGTCCTCCTGCACTTACTATTAGAGCCCCCCTCCCCCTCGAGGTTTCCGTCATGTATACTCGCATTTGTTATCTGCGCGTATTTGAATCAACTTTAATCATTTAAAGATACATGTACATTATGTTAGATTTAGATAAAGAGCTGACTATTCTTGTTATAATAGCTCAAAAATAAATAATGTAAAGTGAAAATGGTGAAAATTTCATTCAAATTACTTCATTCTTAGTCAAGTTACCACTGTTTGTAGTTTTGACAAGATGTGTGCATTGTTGTAAGCAGAGCACTGGTATATTCGAGACTTTTAGCCTCGCTTTCTCATTTTTAAATTAAATTTTTAAATGGCGAGCCGTTATAATCTAGTTAAAATCGAGGATATCCGATGCCATCGGGAGTTGATTATGGTCTTGTTTTGTTAATAAATGTCTAATTAATAGTTTATATAATATTTCAGGCCTAAAGAACGACCTGTAGTAGTCAGATTTAGTCCTTGTATACTGTATGTTTAAATATAGTTCTCTATCAATCAACGAACGAATAATTGTGTTTTTTTACAGACTTCATTTTTATTGATAAATTGTATGAAAAGTGTGATCGATGTTGACTAATGAAGCACCATATAAATCACAGAAACCATACGAACAATTCACTTTTTATAAATGATTTACTCAGATAATTATTTATAGATTAATTCGGTTACTGTTTCACATAGTTTCCAAGGTACCAAACAACTCTCCACGATACTGACACAAAGAACTCATCAAGATATCGACACTAAGGCCATGTCCATTTGAATTCCTGTTTTTTTGGGAACACGTGTAAAATTGTGTTTGTTATTTCATCAGGAAAATGACTAATTTATAAACCAAAATAATTTGTCTGTGTTGTTGAAAAGCTTTCAGTTCCCAAATTTTAGGTTTTGAAATTTTAGACAAAAGACCGGAAGCAAGTGAGATTCGTCGTAGATCTTATATAAGGTAGATGTTCTAATATGCTAAGTTCTATTATGCATTTATCTATAATGCAAAATGCAGAATGGGGAAGTGTAAATGTGCAAAATAACTATTATACTGTATTTTGTATTATTTAAAAGTGTATTCTGTATTTTGACACTGTGACATCAATGGAAATTGCAAATTGCAAAACTAAAATACGTATTTTGAACTGCTGACATATGCAGTTTGTATAGTGAACAATGAAATAATATTGGCAACGTTATCCTTCCATAAGTGAGACGCCAACTTACAAATATCGTTATGTGGACCGTTCACAGTCTAATGGTCCATCCCGCACCCCAAACCCACGAATCAATTATAACACCAATGCCACGCCTGTATGACGTATATGTTATAACATCAATGTCATACCTGTATGACGTATATGCAAATTATAACAACATTGCCTGTGTTAATTATAGCACAAATAACAAGACTGTGTGACGTAACAAATAAAACTCTTTAATATAATTTCACATCAGTATTTTATTTCATAAATAATTCTCCAAAACAGTTAATATGTTTATCTTACAGATCAGATACAAAATGATTTCTAAAGGCATTCTGCACACTTCATGAATAGATCTCTGTCTTGAATTACCGCCATATGCAACAATCAGTATATAGAGGATATTTGTCGTTTTAGAGTGAATAACATATTTTATTTCATCGAGAAGCAAGAAAACTTATATTTTCACGAATGCGTAGCATGAGTGAAAATATAAACGTTTTCTTGCTTAGAGATGAACGTTTTCTTGCTTAGAGATGAAATAAAATATGTTATTCACGACAAAACGACAAATGTTCTATTTATTTTATGATTTTACAATCATTTTAGGTAAAAACAACATGGACTACTGCTAGCCAGTGGAATAACACTTTTATTTCACTGATAAAACGCGGTATTCCACTACTGATCATAAAATAAATTGTTTTATACTACGGTTCTACAAAGACTAAATAAACCCTTTAAATTCCATTAAATGGAAGCAAAATAAATACTTCTCAAAATTCTCGAAGTATACTTAGTGTTTTTGACTAAAGTCGTCGATTTAGGATTTAAAATGTCGGTTAACAAGCTTAGTGTCTGTTATCAAGCGTAGCTAGCTGTAGACAGTATGCTGTAAGGCATCTTAATTACACAAACAGTTTCTTCTGGTTACCCGTGTATAGATTACCCTGCACGTAAAAGATCCCTTGGCAGTTGGAATACGATATAATAGTAGGCCATAGTAACGCTGCCGGGGTAAAATTTTCCCCATAGCACATGTATGGCGTATGCCTGTCTTCATTAGCCCATTTGGAGCAGAACTGCAGGACGTTAAACCCCATTTCATTTCGTTTTTTCTAGTTAGTTGGGTCATTACCTTAAAATGAAATGAAGTTTAAAGTACTACTGTTCTGAATCGACTAGGGCAATGAAGACATCATACAGTTTGCTATGAGGGAAATTTTACCCGGACAGCGGCGCCACGACCTAGTCTTATTTGGATTTCCAATTGTCAATGGTTCTTTTACGTGCACGCCAATACGTACACGGGACCTCAGCTTTGCATCACCTCCAAACGAATAGACGCTGTCCTAGCCAGATCGTCCACCCTGCACCACTAACAAAGGGGAACAACCCTTGAAAACCCAGAGAAACATTCACAGCTAACACCAGGAGTGAACCCGAGAACTCCTGGTTAGCGAACCAATAACTTACTCACAGCACCACGGCAACACCTTTATATCTATCTTTAAATTAAAAAAAACATCAATATATACAAGTATGGTTCCAAATGACGTGTTAGTCATACCAAGAAAATGTATATTTAAAAAAACAATATGGCGTCAAATGTGTGCTTTAGTCATACTGTGTAAATGTCTATTTAAATCACAGTATGACGTCAAAAGTGTGTGATAGTCATACCGATAAATGTCTATTTAAATCGCAGTATGACGTCAAAAGTGTGTGATAGCCATATCGATAAACGTCTATTCAAACACAATATTGTGTAAATGTCTAGTTCGAACACAGCATGGCGTCAAACGTGTGTGTTAGTCCTACGCGTCGGTGTATATGTAGATCCGTATGCTAGGCCATGGTGGTCATTGCAGATCAAACACCTATTCATTAATTTTGTAATTTTTAAATCGACAAATGTTTAGATATTGAATCTGTAGAAAATCGCAATCTTTTGTCATGTATCATAATCGTGTGTGAGTAGACAGATGCCCACTTCGTAAAAAAAAATTCAACACATCAGATTTAAGCAAATCATCACTTATAGATGAAAAGGAACCCTATTAAAATCCTGATTCCCTGCACATAAAGGTGTGGGCGCTGTACGCTATCTTTGGTTGAAAATATCAATAATTAAACTTGTTCTCTCGGTTAAATATAAATCACCGTGATCTTCCTGTTAACTGAAAGACGACATTTATTGAACTAATTTCAAGCGACATCTTACGTCAAGTTTTTGTAGAACAGGCAATCTTACGTCAAGATAACGTCAAACAGACAATCTTACGTAACGATAACGTCAAACTGGCAATCTTACGTCACGATCATGTAGAACAGACAATCTTACGTCACGATCTTGAAGAACAAACAATTTTACGTCAAGTTCTTGTAGAGCAGGCACTTTTACGTCAAGATAACGTCAAACAGACAATCTTACGTCACGATAACTTGAAACAGGCAATCTTACGTCACGATCATGTAGAACAGACAATCTTACGTCAAGATCCTGTAGAACAGGCAATCTTACGTCACGATCCTGTAGAACAGAAAACCTTACGTCACGATCCTGTAGAACAGACAATCTTACGTCACGATCATGTATAACAGACAACATATTAAATACGTATTTCTATGTTTATTCGTCGAAATACGATATTTAACTTATTTCACACCAATCTTTCACGGGGTATTAGATAAAGAGCTGACCGTTCTTGTTATACTAGTTTAAAAAATAGAATAAGAAAAAATGAATATATTGAAATTTTCATTCAAATAACGTTATTCTGAGCAACGGTACTTGACAATCGCTATTAAGTCTAGATTACCCAGTATTTAATTAAACGGTGTTTTAATGCATTTAAATCTCGACCAACCGATTGTCTAGAGAGCTGACCATATGTTTGTCGAAATAATAATTTATATAACATTTGAAGCCAAAATAGTGAGATTTATCTTTTACATAATGTATCTTTAAGTAGCTTAAAAAAAAACAACATTTAAATAGTAAAATATCAATACATAACAAACGCATTATATACATAAATAACAACCGGGATTACAATCAAATGAATTGAGAATTAATCATTATGTTTAGTCCTAATCACACTCGGAGGAACTCACGAAAACAGAGTGGACGTGCCCTGGTTAACCTTATATTTCGACTGGTTAATCCGATATTTAGGACTACGGTATAGGTTATCCGGCAAATCAGATCACGGCTTGAAATCTCCACGGTGCTGTATTTAGCCTTTGTTTGCGATATCACCCTGGGTTGAAGCGGACGTCAAACCCCACAATTATATTAACCAGAACGCGGGAAAATTCTAGTTTACCACACATTGTTTTAATGACGTCAGCTTTTCTATGGGCGTTGCCATAGATACAATCTATCATAAACTGTTTAAACAACAACTACTATAGGCTATCCCTCCTGACGTCTGTGATCGAAACGATGACACAAGATTCACTGCAGGAATAGATTTATTTAACACTTCTTTACGAGGCTCACTTTATAGTCAGGCCTATATATCTTCCGAGCCATCACGGCTGATCAAGGCCTGTGTATCGTCAGAGCCATCACGGCTATTCAAGGCCTATATATCGTCCGAACCATCGCGACTAATCAAAGCCTGTATAACCAGAACCCCGCTAGGCAGCATGTCCTGCATTTCTTCATTTTCAAAAGGCCCATTGGAATTGGGAGTAACGCCATTAGTGAACACCTGAATAGCTTCCTCACGATCGGTACTGTTCGAGGCCCCTGTGTCACGTTTCACAATGTTCACTTCTCGACCGGAACTACCCAGACTCGATCTTGTGGTACTGCGCATGCTTTCTTGTCGATATCGTTTCCGACAATTACACCGCATGAGAAATAGTTCCAGATCGGCGAAAGGATAAAATCTAAAAAAACGATGTAAACACCACCGGAACCTAGAAACCACTTCCTGTCTAAAACTGTCATTCAACCAACAATATACGAAAGGGTTATAGCACGTGCTGCTGATAGCTATCCAATGACAAGCGAAGAAAACTCGACTGTTATAATGAAAGACCTGAACATTGGGATGAAAGTCGGTTAAAACGTGATACAAGTTTAATGGCAGCCAACAAATAGCAAACACGATCACCACAGTAATAAGAAGTTTGATACTTTTTCTCTTGGCCTTAGCTTGGGATATCTGTTGACATTCGGTCACGGCACCGACATGTGTTCGAACCCAGAGTGTGTGAACGATTCGACCGTACGCGATACCAATAATCGTCAACGGACCACAGTACTGTAGTACAATCGTCAGAATGGTCAGATATTGTTCGTACGTAACCGACGGATATCGTGAACGACATCGCCGCACCGTCGCAACAAAGAACGTAACGTCTTCCACGGTGTTATAAATCCCGTAAGGCAGGGCCAGACAAATAGCAAAGAGCCAGATTCCCAGTAGAATTAGGAGAGAAGAGGTTTTTGAGAGTCGTGATGTAAATGGTTTGACAACAACTCTATGCCTGTCAAGAGCTATAACAGTCAGAGTATACGTGGACACATAGACGGATAGAATTAGAGAAAAATTCACCAAGTGGCACAGGAAATCCCCGAATGGCCATTCGTCTAATAAATTCCTAGCGATATTGAACGGAACGTTTAACAACGTCACCAACAAATCCGATATAGCTAGGTTAGCGAGGAAGAAATTAGTGGGCGTGTATAGACGTTTATTTTTAAATATGACGTAACACACTAATAAATTGCCTAATATGGACACAATACCCAACAAACTATAGGCCGTGATTAACAACACAGTTTCCGCTGTCGTGTGTCGGTGATAAATCTCAGAATCAAAATTAAATGTCTTGTTTGTTTGGTTGATGATCAGTGTCCGTAGATAATCGTTTTGCTCCGTTAAATTACTTGCTGAACCGTAGAGAAGTTCCTGGAAGCTTTCTAAAGACATCATGGTCAGAATATGTGTGTTAATATGGTTTCAGATAGTATACCTTACATATAACTATCACCATTTTTATAAGTCCCACGCCACAAAAAAAATCAGAAGTCCGAAAACTATATTTTTAAGAACACAACAGCCAGTGAAAATCTTCGTTCGTAATTATACACAATCTGTTGAACCGCAGTTATTCTGAATTTATTCGTCGTCTATTGCAACTTCGAGAACGGACGACAGTCAGCACACAGGTGTTTCATAGCCTTACAGAAAATCGAAGTTTTTAAAAGATCACAATTGCTTTGATGTTACATAAAAAAACACACCAGCCAATGGAAATCCTCGCTTATCATTGTAAATAATCTCCATTACTGGCGTTATTATAAATATTAAGTCTTCGTCTATGACAACGCCTCGGGTAGACAATCAGCACGCAGTACAGATGCTGTCTCAGTCGCCTCTCTGCGATTGGGTGGATATTTTTTTCAATATTAGTCTTTTCGGCCAAACCTGGAAACTTTTACAAGATACACACATTATATTACATGGAACGTCAATTCGTTATATTTCTCAAATATTAGTCTGGGCTTCTATAATCCAAGTAAAAAGTATCACTTAGAAATTCACATGTTCCTGAAAGAATTCTCTTATAATGTAATATCCGTACCACTCTTGTTCATACACAGGTTCATCAGAATTTCTCAGATTTCCGGGCGGTGTCCATTGTATTCATAAGTTAATAAAGTTCTGATCCAATATATATATATATATATATATATCAGACCCAAGCGATCCTTGATGATACTCGGCGGTTTAGTTTGATCTTATATATATACCCATAGATGACGTGCACTCGGGAATACTGATCGCCAGACATCATAAACTATATTCCCATTCATATTCCATTTGTTCAGATTCTGTAACTGAAAGTAACAAAATAGAAACGTGGGATTATTTAACTTCTGCTATCGTCATAACATATCGGAGATAAAACTTACCATACAGTTCAACGCTGGGAAAAACAAATACGGAAGGACTCAACAACCGCAACTAAAACATATTATATAAAGTTGATAATGTAGTTATATTTATTGATTAGAACAGATAATCTTTCAAAATCTAATCGATAGTTATTACAGCAGAGTATCTACTTTAACTAATCGATTGGTATATTTTACTCACAGCATGGATTTAAAAGTATATTCATAGCGGTTAGTGCTTCATGATAAGGACAGCTCAATTTTTCGTCATAGGTCACGGAGATGTAAACAGGGCTAGCGCTAATCCAAACCCTAACCCTGGACCTAGCCCCAATGCTTACTCTAACCCTAACATACAATCTCGCCAACAATCATGTGCCCTAACCTTATTTACATCTCAGCGACCGTGGCAAAAACTGCGCTGGCCTTAACAAATAGATTTAGCCATATATAACCGGGCTAGCGCTAATCCCAACCCTAACCCTGGACCTAGCCATATATAGCCGGGCGCACGCACATTGATAGATTTGTCTAGCTAACTTTTCTTGTGTATCAGATACTACCCCCCCCCCCCCCCTTTAACTCCAAAACGGAAGGTTGCGGAAGGCTGACTTTATATAGGGTTTGTCAGGGATAAACAGAAATATATTGAAATATTTTAACGTTATTAATTGGCAACAAATGATCCACTCTTTATTGTTTCATTTTACACGTGCGCGCTGTATCATAAGGTCTGTCGCCTATCCAACCTCGTGGGTTTTCTCCGGGTCCTCCGATTTTCTCCCGCTGCTAAAGACCCCTACGCGCAAGCCAATTATTGAAATAAAACTGAACCATACATGTTAGTCCCGAAATGACCTAGTTTGTGTCGAGTGGACGTTAATGAATCATATGTTAGTCCCGAAATGACCTAGTTTGTGTCGAGTGGACGTTAAACCCCATCTCTCTCTCTGACAAGTCTGACAGTTCTTTCTATATTTGTTTAAAAATAGATAATGAACTCTCGATGTTATCGCTAGCCTGCGATGTTTATTGGATTAGGTTCCGATTTCCTGTTCGACTTCCATTTATAATTTAATCATGAAATGGATAATCGAGACTATGTTTTTTTTATCTTTAGTAATGATGATCTAGGCTAGGCCGAAAATTCAATCGCTAAAATCTCGGTTTGAAATTTTTTTTACATTATCTAATTTTTAACTTTTATAGCGAGAACTGCCAGCTCTTTATCTAATCTCCCATAATGTATTTTTAAGTAAAGCTATATGACGCCATGACGTCATAGTTTTTATGACGTCATAGTTTAATTAACTTATCCAGACTATAATCAACACTCTATTTAAGTAGATTTAAATACGTTTTGAGATGGGTGATTTAACGTAAAAATTCGACATTAATTAACTTATCCAGACCATAATTAACTCTCGATGCCATCGCTAGTCTGCGATAATTAATGGATTTGAATACATTTTGTGATGGGTGATTAAAATGGATAATCGAGACTTTTTTAATTATCGTACCAAAGGAAGTAATGACGATCGAGGCTAAATTGAATCACTAATATCTCGGTTCAGAGTGAAGCGATTTGACTGAAATTTTCCACATATATTCTGTTGTGATTATTTGTATTTTTTAACTATTATAGCGAGAACTGTCAGCTCTTTATCTAATCTTACCTAATGCCCCTTTAAATGACCGCGTTGTTCTTAAATTGTATAACATTTGAAATCAAAAGAAAGATTATTTTATGATATTTTATGATAGACTTGATGAACTAGAACAATAAGGGCGAAGAGAAGGGATTCGAATTTCTGGAGTAGTTGAAACCGAGGGGGAATCTACTGATGATTTAGTCGTGGCGGTCGGTCAACATATCGGTGTAAACGTTTCCAAGAACGACTTAAATCGAAGTCATAGAGTTGGTCACCCAGAGAGGTACAGTGCTACACAAAACCCAAGACCCATTATTGTACGTTTTAAGGGCTACTACACTAAACGTGATTTTGTCAAAAATGCGAGTAAGCTTCAATCGATTAAACAATCTCATGCTGCGGAGGTGCTAAAGAAACATTCCCTTTCAATTAACGACGATTTAACCAAAACCAGAGCTGAACTTGCTTATAAAGTGCGGAAAATGTGTAGGGAGAAGAAATTTGATAAAACGTGGGTACGTGATGGTATCATCTTTGTCAAAACAACATCAGGAAGAGTTGTGCTTATCAAGTCCCAAAGTGAATTTCAATCTCTCGTTGAAGATACCAGCCTCAAGTTTACAACACCTTGTGAATCAAAACAACATTCTGCAGAAATAAACCAGTCAATAAATGAATCTTTTGTCGACCTGTCCTCATAATCTGAGCATTTACACTTAATAATATGTCATTTAATTCTTAAGTCTACAGAAATATACAACTTTATGCCCAGCACTTCCTAATCAGCAATTATGACCCAAATTTACTTCCATAGTTGACGTGCAGTAACCTAACGGTTCACTTACAACAACACGCCTCTAACGGCACCTTGGAATATACAACTTTATGCCCAGCACTTACTAATCAGCAATTATGACCCAAATTACCTTCCATAGTTGACGTGCAGTAACCTAACGGTTCACTTACAACAACACGCCTCTAACGGCACCTTAAAGCGACAGCCCCCTTCAAGTTTATTATTGAACGTAATATACCGGGCATGATATCATATTCCCCAGACCCTTCAAGGTCTTTTTAGAACAGAACGCAGTATTTATATTAAGTATGCCGCTTACGTTGGACATCGAATGTCTGCATTTGTGCTTAATTTCCATGGCAATACCCTATTGTTCACGAAACCTATCAGTTTTTGTGTATATATTGTGTATATCATTTGTATTATATGTAATGTTTCTTTTTATTTATTTATTTATTTATTTATTTTTCTCATCCTCACCCCAAAACCAAATCGCCTTATCAACATATATATTACGATTGTTTTATGTCCTATATACATAAAGCATATTCGAGCTGTATAAACAAACAATAAAGTTAAACTGTCTTCTTGATGTATATGTTGGTCAGATGATTTATGCTATTTTGTGGAGGGGACCGTGTCTTATATATTTACATGATATTATTATATACGCTCTTATCATTTGTCTTTTGATTGTTTTGTGTGTAGATATTCACTCCAACCCTGGTCAGAATTTAATCAGAATAGTTCACTTGAGCATAAGAAGCTTAAGATTGATCATATTTCTGCTGAACTGTGTAATAATGATATTTTATGCTTCTCAGAAACCTGGCTTACTGATGCAGTGCCGGTTGATTCTTTGTCTGTTGATGGGTTTTGTTCGCCTTGTTTACTACATAGAAATGATAGTAGGGGGGGGGGGTATTGCTGTTTATATTCGTAACAATTTTTACTTTAAACGTAGATATGATCTTTAACTTCCAGGACTTGAAGCTTTGTGGTTAGAAATTACTTTAAAAAATAAAACATTTTTAATAGGAACTTTTTATCGTCCACCAAATAGCAACTCTGATTATTGGAATTTAATTGAACACAGTTTCTCGCAAGCTAAATATAATACTAGAAACAATGTCATCATTCTTGGTGATTTTAATGTAGACTTTCTTACAAAAACTTATAGTAAACTACATGATTTTATTAACAGATTTAACTTAACCCAACTTGTAAATGACCCCACAAGAATAAGCCCTGACAAGAGTTCACTTCTTGACCTAGCGAAAGTTTCATGTCCCGACTTTATACAGTCAGTTGAAGTCAACCTATGTGGTTTGAGTGATCACAGTCCTGTTGTTGTTTTCTTAACACTAGAAAAACACAAACCCAAATGTTACAAGCGTCACATCTGGGACTATACCAATATTGATGTTGTAGGATTAAATAAAAGTATTTTAGATTTTAATTGGAATAAGATTTTTAATGAAGATACTAATTTAAATATTTTAACTAAAACGTTTTCAGGGAAACTACTTGAAATCATTTCAAAATATGTTCCAAATAAGACCGTTACTATACGACCTCGTTGACATTCTTCACTGTTTAAAGGGTGAAAAGGCCTCAGGACCAGACAAAATTAATAATGTTATTTTAAAAAATGTGTCAAAGTCGCTTGCTTTCCCACTGTTAGGATTATTCAATCTGCTTATATCGAAATCCATTTTCCCCGATTGTTGGAAATTGGCACACGTTATACCAATTTTTAAAAAAGGCGATAGACACGTATGTTCTAACTACAGACCAATATCACTATTAAGTGCCTTGGTTAAAGTTTTTGAAAAAATAATATATAAGCATATTTATAACTTCGTTCACACTAATAAAATTATATATATGTACCAGTCTGGGTTTCGACACAATGATTGTGCTGTTTACCAACTCACCGATATGTATAACCATGTTTCTTCCTGTTTAGACCAAGGACGTGAGGTAAAAGCTATATTTTTTGACATAAAAAGCGCATTTGATAGGGTATGGCACCGTGGCTTAATACACAAACTGAACTCAATTGGAATTAGAAACGGTGTTTTAGATCTCATCAAAAATTATTTATCAAATAGAAAGCAATCAGTTATTATTAATAATGATTCTTCAGTTTTTAAAAATATATATTCCGGCGTACCCCAGGGGTCCGTACTGGGACCGCTCCTTTTTCTAATTTTCATTAACGATATTACAAATGAAATTATCTCCCGATTAAGATTATTCGCAGATGACACTTCGTTATTTTTGGTTATAGATAATCCCCCCGACACCCTTAATACTTTGAATAATGATCTAAAGAAAATTCATGATTGGTCAGAAAAGTGGAAGGTCGAATTCAACCCAGACAAAACTACCAGTCTTACATTTAGTAGAAAAAACAACCCAACTTTGCTTGTCGCTTCTTTTAATGATATCCCTTTATATGATGCAAATACCCACAAACATTTAGGTGTTAT